ATGCTCTCACCGAGTGCCTAATATTTTTATTGCCCAATCATGACTAATAAAGTGCTCAGTTCTTAGGGGATAATTAGTTAAAACCAAAACCAGTTAGTTAAAAACAAAACCCAGTGGACTTAAGTACAGTATTTCTCAAACAGGAACAGCTCCCATAACGTCAACTTAGAGCAAGCCGGTACCATCTCGGTCAGTGTTCAGGGACATGCATTCCTACCTATATAAGCAGATTTACAAGAACTCATTCCCAATCTACGTGGAAAAGGGGAGCAAAGTGGAACTACAGCTGGCATCATGCTAAGTATGTTTAGGTAACTAGTTTTCCAGTTTTCTTCTTTCCTACTTACAACAGACTGTCAGTCTTCTATGTCCACTGTCGTCCTAATAACATATGTGATTTCTAGACGACCTCAGTTCAGGTGCATCCCTCCCCACCGTCCTCCTCATTCCCCACCTCCCTCTGCACACCTACATGCTTTCACAGAACTTAGTGAGCGTTGGAGGCTTGTCCTGATTCCTCCGATGGCGAAACCAGCGCTGGATTTTTCGGACATCCCAGTCCAGCTGCTTTGATAGGCCCTCCAGCCTTTTCTGATCAGGATACTGTAGATATATGACCAGAGTTAGAACACTCCTTTCTCTTCAAACCCCTCATTAAACCTCCTTGACTAGCTAAGTGGCAAAGAGTTATAACCACAGAAGGACAAGTGATATTTACGTTTCCAGGTTTCATCTCCAAATCACTTTAAGGAAAAGATTCTATCTCATATGTCACCTTTACTGTTCAGCTCTATATATAAATTCTCATCTGGTCTTCTCCCTCCAGCTCAAACTGAGTAAAAAGGATAAGAAAAACCCATACTAGCTCCACATGGTGGTGCATGCCTGTAATCTCAGCATTTGGGAGGCTGAGGCAGGAGGACTACCACCAGCCTGGCCTACATAAGCAAGTTCTAGGCCAGCCTGCACTACACAGTGAGACCCTGCTTCAAAAACAAAAAGACAAAAAAGAAAAAAAACATAGGTAGAGGTGGCTGCTAAGCCTAAAAATCAAAGGTATATAAAATTGACTTTTGGGGCTGGGGAGATAGCTCAATAGAATAAGCACCTGCCTGGCAAGCGCAGGGTCCTGAGTTCAATCCCCAGTACCGCCAAAAAAAAAAGTTGACTATTTGGAGACCATGGCTCAAAGGTATTTCCCAGAAGGGCTAAAGTTTTCTTATAGTTACACAGACAACCCAAATGTGGAAGATCATCCATTCTATTCTTATGTGTGCTCTATTCTCCATCACCCTACAGAGCAACCCTTTGTGTAAACATTTTAGTTTTTCTGTTCACTTACCTTGGTGATAGAGACAAACACCTTTTCAAGAATGGCATTGGGTGGAGCCTCATAAGGACCACTGTCCTCAATGCCAATATAGAGTGCACAGGGTTTGGCAATAAATCTGTAAGACAGAAAACCTAAAAGTCAATTATAAATAAGATTTGCTAAGCATGCAGAAAAGATCTTTATCAATGGACAAATGAGAGTGAAAGGAGGCAACGTTAGACTGAGAACCACAACATTTTTATATGGTCCTGGATTATGTCACCGATTCACTTGAAAAGCAAGTGGTTTCAAGAAACGCTGGAACATAAGCCCTCTTTCCATTTCTTTCCTCTTATCATACCTCGAGCTTTGCAGTCAGATATACTTAGATCAAATCACTAATCTACCATTTACTGCACATATGAACTTGGGCAAGTTATTTAATTTTTAAAACCTCATGCTTTAAAAAAACAGCTATAGGATAAAAACATCAATATCCCTGTTACTAAATATAGGGCCTATCAGAACTTAGACTGAGGTTGAGAGGAGGAAAAGGGAAATGGGGGAAAAAGCAAAATAAAACCAAAACCAAAACCCTATACATATATGTGTGTATGTGCGTGTATATATATCTGTATATACATACATTTGAAACAGGGTCTCACTATGCAGTTTGGGCTGGCCTTTTGCTCACTTTTGTAGCCCCCACCTAGGCTGGTCTTAAACTTGCTGTGATCCTCTTGTCTCAACCTCTCAAATACTGAGATTACAGGTGTGTACCACCATGCCCAGATAGAAGCAAGATATATCATGTACAGGTACAAATTCCCTATGATGAGTGTTATCACTACGTACATCTAAAATGTATCAATAAAAAATTAGACTGAACTATTCCCAAACACAGATATCCTGGGTCATAGCCATCCCCCTGTTTAAGCTAAATTATGGAAACAGTTACACTTTTAGGAGCCACAAATAAAGCAAGCAGGAAGTTACAAGGGGTGACCTCAATTCTAATCAGATCAATTCAGCTAAATCATTTAATCTCTTGGGTATCCATTTAACATCTAAATGACGGCTTGGGAGATGATTTCTAAGATTTTTCTCCTATATTTAAGATTCTATGATGCTATCACTGGGAGTATTAATTTCTAACTTTGAAATCTGAAAATTGAGTTCCTCAAGAAAATTGGTTCCTCAAGAAAGAGCTTAACAGTTCTCACAACCAAAAATTTTTGTGCATTAGCTCCGGGAAAATCTTTTGGTATATATCAGACCAAGTTTTAGGTGGAAACTTTTTATAAAGGTGAGAGAGACTTTATAAAAGTAGAGATGCTAGGCTGGCCAGATAGCTCAGCGGACTAAGCACCTTCTTAGGCATAGTGTAACGGCTGGGGTTCGATTCCTGGCATGTTGTGCTGGCCCCACCCCTGGGACACACTGAGAAAGTGATTGAGCCTGGGCGTGGTGGTGCACACCTGTAATCCCAGCGCTTGGGAGGCTGAAACAAGGAGAATCACTATGAGTCCAATCTACGTAGTGAGACCCTGTAGACCTGTACTAAATACATACACACAAAAAAGTAGAGATGCTGACAGTCCAAGTAATTGAATACATTAATAATTATGGGTGCTAGTGCTTTTTCCTGTTTTGGTTTTTTTGAGACAGGGTCTCACCAGGTAGTTCAGGTTGGCTTTAAACTGTACCCCAGGCTGGACTCAAACTCAAGGTGATCTTTCTGTCTCAGCCTCCGGATTGCTGGGATTACAGATACCTCTAATCTCTAGCTTTTAAGACTTTTTTGTTTGGTGCTGGGAAGCAAACTCAAGACTTTATGCTTGCCAGGTGGGCGTTGTGCCACTGAGCTTTAAGACTCCTAAGAACATTTATTTGACAAATACTTACTGAACATCTATTTTGTCTGATAACATGAAACTGGTATTTTCCAAGGACATGTGACTGGAAAAGAACTTTTATTTCTTATTTAAAAAAAAAATCCTGCTGTATAGATCTAGTTATACATTTAATAAGCTATCTTAGTAAAATGAAATTTGAAATTAGAAGTTTTGAGAAAGAATTCATTCTGCATCAGAATAAATTGCTGGCATTAGCATAATCTATAAATACCTAAATGTTAGTCAAATGCCAGACAAACAGCCTGACATTTATCCGTTTTACTGGCTCCACCTTTCTAGAAGTACAATCTAGAGACATCTGGGAAGAAGGGTGGTTCCAGAAACCCTTTTAGAAGATGTACAAAGTCAAAACCATTAAAATTACCTTCCTAATGATGCTGTAATTCGTAAGATTTTTTTTTTTTTTTTTTTTTTTTTTGGTGGAACCAGGGATTGAACTCAGGCTCTAGCGCTTATTCTACTGAGCTATCTCCCCAGCCCCAATTCATTAGAATTCTTTACTTTCATTCTTTCGTAAGTGTACCACAGAGCTTTCCACGGATTTTATGATAAGTGTATCAGACTGCTGAACCTATATAAGGATACAGCTACTAGGTATCAAAGAAATTTACAAAATTGTAAAATAAAGTCTTCTCATTTTTTAAAACTGTTTTTGGAAAAGTTATTTTTCAAAAATAACTTATTTCATAAAATTTCTCATTATTATATAGCTAATTATTTTACTTCTTAATTAGAACAAAAATTTTTGAGACAGGGTCTCGCTATGCAGTTCAAATTAGCCTTCAACTCACTTTGTAGCCCAGGCTGGCCTCAAACTTGTGGTAATTCTCTTGCCTCAGTGTTCCAACTGCTGGAATTATTTATAGGTGTGCAGCACCATGCCCAACTAGTTTATTATTTTTAAGTGAATCAATATACAATTATTTTTTCTAATTTTAATTTCTAAAATGATTACAAAATATTCAAGTCCACTCAGTGCTTAGATGACACTGAGAAACAAATATGTCTTTTTTTTTTTTTTTTTTGGCAGAACAGGGGATTGAACTCAGGCCCTTTGACTTATTCCACTGAGCTATCTCCCCGGCCCCACAAATATGTCTTGTGGTTTTCTGTCTTCTCCAGGATCAATCTGCAGCCCAAGTTGTTTGGGGAGGGGCAGGGTATAGGAATCAAACTCAGGACCTTGTGCTTGTCAGACAGGCATTGTGCTACTGAGCTATATTCCTATCCCATGGTGCCTAAGTTTTAAAACAATTTGTCAGAGAAGACTGACCTTTGCCAGGAGACCTGAATAAATAGGTGTTCAGTGCTCTATGAATGCTACTACTTTCCACCTCCTACTTTGGGAGATGAGTCTAATGGCTCAAACTAATTTACCCTCTGCCTTTTCTCTACCGTCTTAACACATGGGGCAGTGGATCTAAATTTGGATTAGTTAAGATGAAATCACCTACTGTGCTGCTTTTTCACACCAAATACAGGAGCTACACTAATACTTTTCTTTGGATGTGTTGTACCCCATCACTGATGGATATAAACTATATACCAGTAAATTACAAAGTCTAGATCAAGTTTCTTAACTGGTACATCATGGCAAGCAACACAAATGGGCCTCAATTATGCTGAGCTATGACACTGACTCTTTGTGGTGGTCAAGGGAGACTGGAATAATTTAGGAAACTAGGTTAATTAGTTAATTCTCAACCAAGTATAGAGAATGAGACAAGTGCTGGAGAATGATAGATTCATTTTATGTAAAACATGAAGTATATATGGGAAGTTGAAATAGTACTGTTGTGAAGGCAAAAAGAACTTTAAAAAAAGAGGCTTGAGTATGAATGAACAAGAACATTAAGCAGCAGCTAAATTGTGGGAATTGATATCACTGCATAAAAATGGATGTAACTGGGACCAGCCAGATAGCTCAGTGAACTAAAGTGCTTGCTTAGGCAGATGAAGGGACCAGGGTTTGATCCCTGGTGTGCCGCGCTAGCCCCGCCCCCAGGGCATTCTGAGCTGTGACTGAAACTAGGAGTGGTGGTGCTTGCCTGTAATTCCAGCATTTGGGAGGCTGGAAACAGGAGGATCACTATGAGCCCATCTGTGTAGTGAGACTCTGTAG